ACCTAAAAAGTAGGGAAGGAGTGGAGAACATGTGCCTCAGAAGTGGGTTTTGGATGAATTTGCATGAGTTTTCCTGCATTGTTACCAACACTGTACCTTCTCCTTGTTCCTCTCCAGCTCGGTCTCGTAGTTCTTCTTCATCTCTTCTATCTGCTGCAGGTATGAGTTCATCTCTTTTCTGCATGCTGACAGAGACGACTGCAGCTCACACACCTGGTGTAGAAACAAATTGGTAACTGCAGTTGTTGATGTGGTTTGATTCCTGGCGTGTTCTAGAAGTTCATGTCCAGTAAACCAAATCTGTTAGCAGTGTTATTTGTACACACCTTGGCTGCAGAGCGAGCTGCCTGCTCTTTGAAACTCTGGAGAAACTCCTCGTTCTGTCTGACTTCCACCTGCTTCTCCTGAAAATAATACAATTTCAGGTTTTTCATTCATAAACAGCATATGTACTGTGATGCATGTCTATTAAATGGTTCTCCGACTTCTACTGTCTACATGTCTTCTTCTGAAACAGAGGATGCATTTGTGGTCTTATGCTACAAGTGTTCTGACCTGTGTGAGCTGATCTAGAGAGTTCTGCAGCAACAGAGCTGTTCTCTGAGCCTCGTCTCGCTCCCTCTGGAGGGAACTCAACTCCTGCTCCATCTCTGCCACCAGAGGATGAACCTCTTCCAGAGACAACTGCAGCTGCAGGAGATAGAAAATAATCTTACTACAAGGAATATTACAGGGCAGATTATCTCCATAGTTTCCTCTTTTTTACCCTTTGGTTGCAGCACATTTAATATTACGCAGTATGATTACATTCATAATACAGAGGTAAAAGACAAAGCTGTAGATCACCATTTGTATTCTTTGTTGCTGCTCTGTGAATTGGTGAGAATGAGACTGCTGACACTTTTCCAGAGACTGCTGATACTCTCGTTGCTTTTTGGTCAGCAGTGACTGGTAATGCTGGATGCTGCTGGTCTTCTCCTTTAATCAAAATGAAAAAAGATCCAAAGTGTGATTTGTCGTTGACTTTCTAAAAGTAGAAAAACTACATTTGAATCATAACCGCGTACCTGTAATTGAGTCTCCAGCTCAGTGTTTTTCAGTGCAGCCAGACTGTAGGCTGAAGTCTTCTCCTGTAACTGCTTTTCCAGTGCGGCAACTCGTGCCTTCTTCTTCTTTAACTGAGTTCAACAGAGACAGTTAATCTGTAAGTAACAGTCATGACTTTTGAAACTTGGAACAAAAGCTTACTGAGCTATAAAACTCGCTGTACACTTTACAATCTAGTGATTTATTACCTAAAATACTATACTATAAAATACTATACTGTACCCTTTGGTATATTTGGCTTGAGTTGTTCCAATAAAAAAAATCAGTAAGTAGAAATAATACTGTATGTGCTACACTGCTGTTAGCACTGGTGTGTGTGGAAACATAAGAAAAAGTGTGTTACCTCTTTCTCTGTGTCTGTGGCTTGTTTGAGTTTGTCCAGCAGCTCTGTGTGGAGGCTCTGGTAGTGGGAGGCTCTCTGGGCCATGGAGCTCTGCAGGGAGGAGATTTCCTCCTGGGCCCTGCTCAGACGATCCTGAAGCCGCTCGATCAGGTTGCTCTGTTTCAGCCGCTCAGCTTCCTTTGACTGCAGCACTCGCATGAGCTGCTGGTAGCCCTCACCTGCCGGGATTAACAGAGAGGACTGCAGTCGATGCATTTTTCTTTTTTTTTTAGGCATTTTTATGGATAGATAAATATTGGAATTTATTTTTAGCTTTACATTCCTTTTAAAACATCAAATCATTAACTAGTTCATAATTTATTCATTATACTTTGTTTTTAGTCACTCCCTTTAAGGGTTCACCACAGTGAACTGGCTCTATCTCATCCTAAACCCTAGCATCCTCTCCTCTCTGCATGTCCTCCTTCACTACACTCACAAGCTTTACTCTTTTTATTTTTTAGATTAAATAATTTCAGAGGCTGGTTTTAAACTCTTGCATCTTTAAACTACATACACAAAGTGCAAAGAAATAAACTGTTAGTAATCAACAAATAATTTCCCTTTCAGTTTGAAAAAAAGAAGATGAAGAGTATGTTGCAAGTATGAACTGATTAATCTGATTGAGCCTACCTGGCTTTAGCTTCATCAGGTGTGCAGCTCCCGTATAGTCCACTGGGGGCAACATGCAAGGACTGGCACAGATTTGACCCAAAGTGCCCTTTAAGAAGAAAAAAAAAAGTGTGACAACAGTAACCATGTCTTTGTTTTGCACGATCAGCCATAAAGGGCGGCTTGTTTTGAGGAAGCAAATAAAATAATCACGTAGCACAACCTTGATTCAAAAACTGGGTAAGAACACAAACGACACACAGACGTCTCCCCACCTCCCGCAGATGCAGCAGGGACAGTATGGCCTCCAAGCCGGCCAGCTCTGTCTGGCTCAGCTGAGCCTCTTTCTGGCTCTGGGCGACCTTCTGCTCCTGGCTGTGGGTCACAGCCCGCAGGTCTTCCAGTTCCCTCCGCAAAGAGGCCACATCCCTGCACTCTGCACCTCGCTCCATAAGCTGCCGCTCCAGGTGCGAAGCTTTATGTCCAGCCTCTTCAATTTGGGCTTGGAGGCGAGCGGCCGCAGCCTTAAACTGTTTCACCTCCTCCGTCAGCTGACTGCGAGATAGACGAGGAGAAACTATGCAGATTAAACATGCTATGCAAGCACACAGAAATTTCCTTATAAAAGACAAAATCATCCCTTTTATGATTATTAGAAATCCTGCGAGCAATCAAAGAACTACATAACGATGCAGTTAAATTAAAAGTACCTAATTGTCTGTCTGTGTTCTGCCTTCTGTCTCTCCAGCTCAGTGCACTTCATCTCCAGCTCCTCTTTCTCTCGGTCACACTCTATGAGACTTCCTTTTAGTTTGTTTTCACTCTCCATCACCTGAAAGCCACAAACCAAAACATATATTTCTGATGTTAACATGCAAATAAAACTGTGTTTTTTAGTTTAAATCAATCAATATTTCAATAAACACACCCTTTTAAGCTTAATGGAAATTGTAGCCTTATAATCTTTGAAGGCTTCTTTGAGCTTCTCTGCATTTTCAAGTGCTTGATTCCTCTGTTGCTCTGCCCTGCAAGCCATGGTGTTGCACATGCGTTAGTAAAATGCAATAAATAATTCAACTAAACATAAGACTTTTATTTTCACTCATATTTTAAACTGTACTGATTGAAATCATGAGCAGAGCTGAGCCTGGATATAAGCCCACCGTTTTCCTAACGCCGTCTTGTTTTCCAGCTCCTCCCTGAGTGTGCTCAGCTCTTCAGTAAGAGTCGCTACCACAATGTCGCTGTGAGCTGCAGCTTCCTGACAACACTCTGCCCTCAGCTCTGCTGCCCTGGGAAACACAGACAATACAGGTTATGCTATTAATGCCAAAATTAAAGGCACAGTTTCAAGAAACAAAAGGCAAACGTAATAAGTAAATCTTGAAAAGCTCGAATAAAGAGCCACATTTCCACCCAGAGTGAACTTGATCTTTTGGGGACCTTTTTAAAGAAACTGAAAGGTTCCAGCTTGACTTACTCAAAAGTAAATAGAAACAGAATGCAATGATTTGCATACTTATAAACCCATATT